AACCTGTCGCTTCTGTCGGGGCCCGGTTTTGTTTTGAAAAAATGTAACATACGTAAAAGTATCAAGAAACGATTGACACCTGTAATGTTTTAAATTAAAAAAACCCGGAAAATGAAATCAGGGCCTTTTTTGTTTTCCCAGTATGTGGTGACAGTGTGCTTTTACACTTGGGGGAATTTAAACATTATTGTGGCAAAAAAAAAACAGGGACTCTCTGCCCCAGTTGGGCTCCTTTTCCCCTGGTTTAGCCCTGATTTTGGGTTTTAGAGTATTGTATTTGCCATGGGGTATTCTAGTATGGGGGGGTTTCCCTGGGCAATGATGTCCAACAGGGGTTTATCGGGAAAAATTAAAATAAAGCATTCCAGTTCACCGCATTGTTCCCGTGGGGAAAGATGGGGGTTTATTCCCTTTTTTGTTTCATCAAAGCATGGGGACGGGAAAAAAACTAGTCACCTTTTCCCGCCAAACCCCGATGCGGTCTGCTGGGGGGTTCTGGATATTGTAAACGTGGTTGTGGGTTTTGCAAAGGGTTTTGGTTGGCAGGTTGTGGTTGTGTAGGTTTTGGGGGGGTGTGGGGGGTTTGGGGGAGGTGGTTGTTGTTGGGGCAGAGTCCCGGGTGGGTAGTAGCTTTGGGCCCCTGTTGGTGCCCCATGGGTCGTGCCACATCACTTCACCACCAAATGCCCGCTGCCCACTAAAATCAAACATACCCCTCGTAACAATATCTTAAAATTTACTATAAAGGGCGGGGGGTTTGGGCCACGGGGTTTTGCTCCCAGGTTTCTTTTTCCCCTTGGAACATCATATGAAAAAAACTACCAGACCCCATGGGTAAGTCGTACTTACTGGCCCCTTCAATGGGGAATATTCACCCTCACTGTCAAAAACTAGAACTGCTTTTAATAAAACCCTTTAAACACTATCACTAACACATTCATGCAAAAATCTGGGTTTTTTGTACACGGGGCCAAAAAAGTTTCCTCTTTCGTCCGGGGACAGGGGGAAAGTGAAGTGAAAAGCCAGCCCACACCAGAGGTGGAAGGTAGTGGGTCAAACTGGGTTTTCATCACTAATTACGTCACCTGGGCACTTTTTTCGGTTTTACCAAATCACTTGAAAACCCCGGAAATTTACTGTCAAGACACTTTAAACGCTTTTAGAAATATCACTTGGGAACAAAAGACCTCCAAACCCCGGGGGAGTGGGGGGTACTTTTACCGCGAGGGATGGTTTTAAATGGGGCTACCCAAAAGGCCCTTCCCACAAATTTCACCGCTGAGTCCAGATTTTTTTCACAGGGTTTCCCTACCCCCCCACTGAGACCCATTTTCTCTCAAAGTAGGCCCACCCGGCCTTTCCCGCCCCTTTATTTGAAGCGGGTGAATTTTTGCGTATAAATCCGTTTAGAAACGTGGCGCGTTTTGACGTATATTTTACGGGGTAAACGTCCCAAAAGGGTTTTAAAAAAAAAAAACTTTGTTTTTCTTTTCAAATAAACCCCTTTCCTTGGGTGGATTCGCCCGGGTTTAAAAAAAAAAAATCAAAAAAACCCTGAGAGTAAGAGCAGCTTTATCAAGTGGGGGGAGGGTTTTATGTAGAATATTGCCAGGAATCATCTCAAAACTGTGGAGATGAAAAAAAAAATAAAAATGATAACTGTAATGTTAAGAAAACTGGAGGAAAAAAAGATAATGTAAAATCTATAGTTACAGTTTTAGGATTTTTTTTTTTTAACACACCAGCCATATCCCATTGAGGCAGGGTGACTGAAAAAGAAAAAAGTTTTTCTTTTTAAATTTAGTAATTTATACAGGAGAAAGGGGTTATTAGCTCCTTGATCCAAGTACAGTGGACCCCCGCATAACGGACGCCTTGCATAACGGACAATCCGCATAGCGGACGCTTTGATCGCTAAAATTTTGCCCCGCATAGCGCCCAAAAACCCGCTCAGCGGCCTTCGTCCGAGACGCGTCCAATGTGCGGCCTGAGCCACGCTCACATGTTCCGCGGGTGGCATTGTTTACCAGCCAGCCTCCGCGGTAACATCCAAGCATACAATCAGAACATTTTGTATTATTACAGTGTTTTTGGTGATTTTTTTCAGGAAAATAAGTGACCATGGGCCCCAAGAAAGTTTTCTAGTGCCAACCTACAGCAAAAAGGGTGAGTTTAACTAGGGAAAGATGAAGAAAAAGATCATTGATAAGTATGAAAGTGGAGTGCGTGTTCCGAGCTGGCCAGGTTGTATAAAAAACCCCAATCAACCATTGCTACTATTGGTGGTACAGCTGCTGCTGCTGCTGTATCCCCCGTCAGCTGCTGCTGCTGTACCACCGTCAGCTGCTCCTGCTGCTGTAGTACCGTCTGCTGCTGCTGTAGCATCATCTGCTGCTGCTGTAGCATCGTCTGCGCTGCTGTAGCATCGTCTGCTTGCTGCTGTAGCATCGTCTGCTGCTGCTGTAGCATCGTTGCTGCTGCTGTAGCATCGTCTGTTGCTGCTGTAACATCGTCAGTTGCTGCTGTAGATCGTCTGCTGCTGCTGTAGCATCGTCTGTTGCTGCTGTAGCATCGTCTGTTGCTGCTGTACCACCGTCAGCTGCTGCTGCTGCTGCTGTAGCATTGTCTGCTGCTGCTGCTGCTGCTGCTGTAGCATCGTCTGCTGCTGCGTAAACATCGTCAGTTGCTGCTTTAGCATCGTCTGCTGCTGCTGTAGCATCGTCTGTTGTGCGTAGCATCGTCTGTTGCTGCTGTACCACCGTCAGCTGTGCTGCTGCTGTAGCATCGTCTGCTGTGCTGCTGCTGTAGCATCGTCTGCTGCTGCTGTAACATCGTCAGTTGCTGCTGTAGCATCGTCTGCTGCTGCTGTAACATCGTCAGTTGCTGCTGTAGCATCGTCTGCTGCTGCTTTTAGCATCGTCTGTTGCTGCTGTACCACCGTCAGCTGCTGCTGTGCTGCTGTACCCACCGGGTTGTTGGGTGGCTTATTGAGAATCCCAAAGAAACAATTAACCCCAGAGGATTTGCCCCAGGATAGCCAAAAAGTCAGTGTCATCGAAGACTGTCTAATTATTTCCATTGGGGTCCTTAATCTTGTCTCCCAGGATGCAAAACCCCCACCAGTCGACTAACACCCAGGTGAACAGGGAAAATGCCCGGAACTAGTGCTCATATTGGTGAATTTAGAGCCAGCAAAGGTTGGTTTGAGAGATTTAAGAATCGTAGTGACATACACAGTGTGATAAGGCCTGTTCTGGAAGAAAAAACCAAACAGGACCTACAGTTCAGGAGGAAAAAAGGGACTCCCAGGACACAGTGTCTCATCAGTCATTGCTGCATCTTCAATAAGGTAAGTGTCATTTTTTCTTCATTTAGTAGAGTAGTACATGCACAATATATATTGTGCATGTACTACTCTACTATTGTGCATGTATCCTTCTCTTTGTGTGTAGGAAAATGTATATTTCATGTGGTAAAATTTTTTTTTTCAAACTTTTGGGTGTCTTGCATGGATTAATTTGATTTCCATTATTTCTTATGGGGAAAATTCATTCACATAGCGAACATTTCGCATAACAGCCAGCCCTCTTGCACGGATTAAGGTCGCTATGCGGGGGTCCACTGTATTTTAGTCACTTATGACACAAATGGCATACAGAGGAAGAATTCTCTTTCACTTCCCATGGAATTTAGGATCATTATTATTATTATTGTATATTACTATTATTAATAATAGTAGATCCAAAACAGGCACTGACATATTAAAATCCAGGTAATAACTGGAGTTGGTCAGTCTCACATGCCCCATCTGGCATCTGCACATCATATCAGCAGAAAAAGAAAGTACATAGACACAAGCGATCAATGAGTATGATCAGATATATCTTGGCCATCCCCAACTCAGCAATCATCAAAAATTGCAAAGTAATAAGAAACATTTACAACTAAGTTTATAAATAGGCCTGTTTGTTTTTCTAACTGCCATCTTATGAATCAGAAAACACAAAAAATAATTCTTCCTAGCCCATTACCTACACCAGACTATTTATATAATTATGTCAGTATGCTCACCACCCAGCTGATGTGTATGACGGCTCATACACTTCAAAATTTTACATGGTTAATTTTTTTTTTTCAACACGTTGGCCATTTCCCACCGAGACAGGGTGAAAATAGAGAAAAGATATATGGTGTGCTGTATATGCAAAAGAAACCAACTACAATTTTTTTTTTTTATATCCTCAACAGTCATCCCTTACCAAGACAGGGTGACCCTAAGGACACACATTCACCATCATTCATTCAATTACATTCTTGTAAGAAGTGTGCTGACATCGCGATTCAGATTACCAACTAAATTACGACATCATGTCTCAAAAGACAGTGATTTAATGAATGGTGGTGTTAATTTATCTAACATAATATGAAGTGTAAAAGTTGTCTCAAGTGGAGTTTAGAGAAAATATTGTGTATCTGTCTCATCTGCCCATCTATCAGATACAGTACTAATTGCTGACACAAATGTGGACGTGTTTTCGTCTGTGGATGGCATAAATTTTAAGCGCAGCTGTGTTGGACATTACTGATTAGACAGAAGACAAGTAGAAGCAATTTCAAAATATCTTCAGAATTCATTTTTTTTTTTTTAACATCCACAACAAGCCTTGATGCTCAACAAATATCATGTAAATACAAAAGATAAATTCTCACTGTTGCTTCTAGTTAAGTTTGATCTTTGATCCATGGTAACAAAACAAACAGGATTCCACTTATTCATAAATTTGAAAATTTAAAGGCATGAAGTATTTGTAGCTGCAACAGGCAAGCAAGTGACAGATCAACATACCAAATTTGCTGTGACCATAAAAACAACAGACATGTGCACAACTATCTGCCTCCATGCATTCATACATACATCAATTAACATGCAGAGTAACTGAGTGCAATCAATGAGTTATATATTAACGATAATATATGCTGCTATTTTGTCACATACTCACCATAATAGACTCTACCTCTTCAAAATCCTCTATTTCATCTTTGACATGACATTCTCCATTTACCATTTTTACTCTTGTAATTTTGATGTCTTTATCATTCTTCTCTAAAAGGTTCACTGGTCTCTTTTCATTTTCCTTGTCACTGCTACAAAATTAAAAAAAAAAAAAAAAAAAAAAAAAAAAAAAAAAAAGGAAATATATAATTACTGAAAACATTTTTGAAAACATGAGTCTGAATAGCAAATTTAAACTATCAGTTAAACATAGTGTATAAACCTATAGTGAAAAATTGTGGAAGTCATAAAAGCATTACACTACTAAGTATTATTTTATTGCAAACCAGCATAAATTTAAAGAATATAAAAATCAAATTTTGGAGAGAGTTAAACAAGTTCAGAAAGTTAGAAACAGAGTAGGGAAGTTAGTAGATGGGGAAATGGAAGCATTAGGCAGATGGCAAGAATATTTTGAGGAACTTTTATATGTCAACGAAGAAAGGGAGGCGGTAATTTCATGCACTGGCCAGGGAGGTATACCATCTTGTAGGAGTGAAGAAGAGCAGGATGTAAGTGTGGGGGAGGTGCGTGAGGCATTACATAGAATGAAAGGGGGTAAAGCAGCTAGAACTGACGGGATCATGATAGAAATGTTAAAAGCAGGGGGGGATACAGTGTTGGAGTGGTTGGAATTTTTGTTTAATAAATGTATGAAAGAGGGGAAGGTACCTAGGGATTGGCAGAAAGCATGTAAAGTCCCTTTATATAAAGGGAAGGGGGACAAGAGATTGTAAAAATTATAGAGGAATACGTTTACTGAGTATACCAGGAAAATTGTACAGTAGGGTTATTACTGAAAGAATTAAAGGTAAGACAGTACGTAGGATTGTGGATGAGCAAGGAGGTTTTAGAGTGAGTAGGGGATGTGTAGATCAAGTGTTTGCATTGAAGCATATATGTGAACAGTATTTAGATCAAGGTAGGGAAGTTTATATTACATTTATGGATTTAGAAAAGGCATATGATAGAGTGGATAGGGGAGCAATGTGGCAGATGTTGCAAGTACAGTGGACCCTCGACCAACGATGGCATCGATTAACAATAAATTCGACTAGCGATACATTTTAACGCAAAATTTTTGCCTCGACTAGCGCTAAAAAACTCGACCAACACTATTTGTTCCGTCAGACGCGTCCACTTCTGGCCAGTGTTTACAAGCCAGGCAGCCACCGCGGTCGCTTCCAAGCATACAATCGGAACATTTCATGTTATCACAGCCTTTTTAGTGATTGCACCTGCAAAATAAGTCACCATGGGCCCCAAGAAATCTTCTAGTGCCCAAACCCCACGCAAAAAGGGTGAGAATTACTATGGATATGAAGAAAGAGATCATTGCTAAGTATGAAAGTGGAGTGCGTGTCTCCGAGCTGGCTACTATTGTGGCCAAGAAAACGACAATCAAGGAAGCTGTTCTTGCCAAAGGTGCAACTATGTTTTCGAAACTGAGATTGCAAGTACTCGAAGATGTTGAGAGACTGTTATTGGTGTGGATAAACGAAAAACAGATAGCAGGAGATAGCATCTTTCAAGCAATCATATGTGAAAAGGCTAGGAAGTTGCATGACGATTTAATGAAAAAAATGCCAGCAACTAGTGGTGATGTGAGTGAATTTAAGGCCAGCAAAGGTTGGTTTGAGAGATTTAAAGGAAAGGGAAGTAACCCCGGAAAAGGACTTGTCACCTCAAGTCCTAATGGAAGAGGATTGATTCCCCTTCTAAATACTAAGACCATAAACACTCTCCCCTCCTCCCATCCCAACAATCATCACCAGATCTTCAATAAAGGCAAGTGTCATGTAGCTGTACATGTCTTCTTCAGTTTGTGTGTATTAAAATAAATATTTCATGTGGTAAAAACAATTTCTTTTTTCATACTTTGGGGTGTCCTACATGGATTAATTTCATTTCCATTATTTCTTATGGGGAAAATTAACTTGACTAACGATGAGCTCTCAGGAACGGATTAATAGCGTTAGTCGAGGGTCCACTGTATATGGAATAGGTGGTAAGCTACTAAATGCTGTAAAGTGTTTTTATGAGGATAGTGAGGCTCAGGTTAGGGTGTGTAAAAGAGAGGGAGACTATTTTTTTTTTATTATCACACTGGCCGATTCCCACCAAGGCAGGGTGGCCCGAAAAAGAAAAACTTTCACCATCATTCACTCCATCACTGTCTTGCCAGAAGGGTGCTTTACACTACAGTTTTTAAACTGCAACATTAACACCCCTCCTTCAGAGTGCAGGCACTGTACTTCCCATCTCCAGGACTCAAGTCCGGCCTGCCAGTTTCCCTGAACCCCTTCATAAATGTTACTTTGCTCATACTCCAACGGCACGTCAAGTATTAAAAACCATTTGTCTCCATTCACTCCTATCAAACACGCTCACGCATGCCTGCTGGAAGTCCAAGCCCCTCGCACACAAAACCTCCTTTATCCCCTCCCTCCAACCTTTCCTAGGCCGACCCCTACCCCGCCTTCCTTCCAATACAGACTGATACACTCTTGACGTCACTCTGTTTGGCTCCATTCTCTCTACATGTCTGAACCACCTCAACAACCCTTCCTCAGCCCTCTGGACAACAGTTTTGGTAATACCGCACCTCCTCCTAACTTCCAAACTACGAATTCTCTGCATTATATTCACACCTCACATTGCCCTCAGACATGACATCTCCACTGCCTCCAGCCTTCTCCTCGCTGCAACATTTATCACCCATGCTTCACACCCATATAAGAGCGTTGGTAAAACTGTACTCTCATACATTCCCCTCTTTGCCTCCAAGGACAAAGTTCTTTGTCTCCACAGACTCCTAAGTACACCACTCACTCTTTTCCCCTCATCAATTCTATGATTCACCTCATCTTTCATAGACCCATCCGCTGACACGTCCACTCCCAATATCTGAATACATTCACCTCCTCCATACTCTCTCCCTCAATCTGATATCCAATCTTTCATCACTTAATCTTTTGTTATCCTCTAACCTTACTCTTTCCTGCATTCACTTTTAATTTTCTTCTTTTGCACACCCTACCAAATTCATCACCAATCTCTGCAACTTCTCTTCAGAATCTCCAAGAGCACAGTGTCATCAGCAAAGAGCAACTGTGACAACTCCCACTTTATGTGTGATTCTTTATCTTTTAACTCCACGCCTCTTGCCAAGACCCTCGCATTTACTTCTCTTACAACCCCATCTATAAATATATTAATACAACCATGGTGACATCATACATCCTTGTCTAAGGCCTACTTTTACTGGGAAATAATTTCCCTCTTTCCTACATACTCTAACTTGAGGCCTCACTATCCTCATAAAAACTCTTCACTGCTTTCAGTAACCTACCTCCTACACCATACACTTGCAACATCTGCCACATTGCCCCCCCTATCCACCCTGTCATACGCCTTTTCCAAATCCATAAATGCCACAAAGACCTCTTTAGCCTTATCTAAATACTGTTCACTTATATGTTTCACTGTAAACACCTGGTCCACACACCCCCTACCTTTCCTAAAGCCTCCTTGTTCATCTGCTATCCTATTCTCCATCTTACTCTTAATTCTTTCAATAATAACTCTACCATACACTTTACCAGGTATACTCAACAGACTTATTCCCCTTAATTTTTGCACTCTCTTTTGTCCCCTTTGCCTTTATACAAAGGAACTATGCATGCTCTCTGCCAATCCCTAGGTACCTTACCCTCTTCCATACATTTATTAAATAATTGCACCAACCACTCCAAAACTATATCCCCACCTGCTTTTAACATTTCTATCTTTATCCCATCAATCCCGGCTGCCTTACCCCCTTTCATTTTACCTACTGCCTCACGAACTTCCCCCACACTCACAACTGGCTCTTCCTCACTCCTACAAGATGTTATTCCTCCTTGCCCATACACGTAATCACAGCTTCCCTATCTTCTCAACATTTAACAATTCCTCAAAATATTCCCCCCATCTTCCCAATACCTCTAAACTCTCCATTTAATAACTCTCCTCTTCTATTTTTAACGGGACAAATCCATTTGTTCTCTAGGCTTCCTTAACTTGTTAATCTCACCCCAAAAACTTTTTTATTTTCAACAAAATTTGTTGATAACATCCCCACCCCTCTCTCATTTGCTCTCTTTTTACATTGTTTCACCACTCTCTCAACCTCTCTCTTTTTCTCCATATACTTTCCCTCCTTGCATTGCTTCTACTTTGTAAAAACTTCTCATATGCTAACTTTTTCTCCCTTACTACTCTTTTTTACTTCATCATTCCCACCAATTGCTCGTCTTCCCTCCCACACCCACTTTCCTGTAACACAAACTTCTGCTGAACACTCAACACTACATTTTTAAACCTCCCCCATCCCTCTTCGACTCCATTGCCTATGCTCTCATTACCCCATCTTCCCCCAATAGCTTTTTATATCTTACCCTAACTGCCTCCTCTTTTAGTTTATAAACCTTCACCTCTCTCTTCCCTGATGCTTCTATTCTCCTTGTATCCCATCTACCTTTTCTCTCGTGTAGCTACAACTAAAAAGTGATCTGATATATCTGGGGCCCCTCTATAAACATGTACATCCTGAAGTCTACTCAAACAGTCTTTTATCTACCAATACATACCCAACAAACTACTGTCATTTTGCCCTACATCATATCTTGTTTTACTTATTTATCCTCTTTTTCTTAAAAATGTATTACCTTTTAAAATAAACCCCTTTCTATACAAAGTTCAATCAAAGGGCTCCCATTATTTATTTACACCCGGCACCCCAAACTTACCTACCACACCCCTCTCTAAAAGTTTCTCCTACTTTAGCATTCAGGTCCCTACCACAATTACTCTCTCACTTGGTTCAAAGGCTCCTATACATTCACTTAACAACTCCCAAAATCTCTTCCCCTCCTCTACATTCCTCTCTTCTCCAGGTGCCCCACCCCACTTTTATGACCCCCTTTTCGCATTCAACCTTTTTTTTCTTAATCCACATAATTCTTGAATTTACACATTCATATTCTCTTTTCTCCTTCATAACTGATCCTTCAACATTACTGCTACCCCTTCCTTTGCTCTAACTCTCTCA